TCCAACCACCTGAAGGCCGGAGCGTACAACTGCCGAAACGTTGTGATAAATATGGCAAAAAAAGATGCGGATGATAGTCCGAACAATGTAAATAGTGTACATAACACTTCATCTCGGAAATATAGACAGATACTGAAGGTGTTTCTGTACATAAAGCGTCACCTGATAGTCATCCAGTGAAAAACAAAGAATATCAGTTGATCTCTTTGACACCCTGAAGGTGAATGACATTGAAACAAAGTTTAGTTAAATAACAAAATAAACTTCAAACAAGTCAAGAAGCTGGGAAGGAACAAAAAAAACAAAAAAAAAACAAACAAAAAAACAACAACAACAAAAAAAAACAAACAAAAAACAACTTGACATATCTGGTTGGTGTGCTATGTGTCTAGAGATTCTAGACAAACTCCAAAAAATAATATCTTATCAGTACTGGTCAGGTACTTGAGCTTCAATCACCCTCCCACCGTTGCAACGCACACCTCTACCCTTTACTGCTTCTATGAATATTTCTAAGGCAATTTTTCTGATGACCTTTCCTTTTTGGTACATCAACTTCATAATTTCAGTACAGTACTAGATTGGCAGGTAGGTCTTATTTTAATGTTAAAATTGCAGAAATGTAACCGTGTTGTCTGCCTATATTTCTGAGATGAGGTATTATGTACACTATTTACATTGCTCGGACTATCATCCCCATCTTTGTTACTATATTTTTCACAACGTTTCGGCCGTTGTACGCTCCGGCCTGCTTCAAGTTAGTTAGTTAGATCCAGTGACATGGCCCAAAGTTGTGAGTTCAATACCTAGTTAAGGCAGTGGAGAACTTGGATAGGGGAATTAACAGGAGATAACTGATAAAAGGACATCTATTAGACATGGCACGTGGAACTAGAACAGTCTACCCCAGTGAACGAAATAAAGGGTTCAGTTCGACATTCCAACCACCTGAAGAAGGCCGGAGCGTTGTGATAAATATGGCAATAAAGATGAGGATGATAGTCCGAGCAAGTGTAAATAGTGCTTTATCTTGTGTTTTCGAGATAACAGAGGGAAATAAATAGGCAAGTAATGAAATAGAATGCTTATTAAACGAAGGTAAACTTAGCAATGGAGCTAATTCTAACTCTCCCCAGCTTTGCTTAACGACGCTTATTTCCATAATCGGACAATTCCATTCATGTATGTCCAACTAACAGTATAACCCTTCTTTGATCTGGTCTTTCTTTACAGGGAATTTTTGCCGTTCAAATGGAGCAGTTTAAATTTAAAGACAGCCCATCCGAAAATCAATATTAGTAACAACATATGGGTGCAACTGAGGCACATCCTCAAATGGGGTGGGTAACAATTTGAATGGGGAGGGGGCCCTGAAAAAGGAACTGCATAATAATAAATAATATTATTATAATTAATTTAATCTATTTATTTTTTATTAAAGTTTTTATGAAAGATGTATATCCAAGAACAGACAAGTAAATAGTAAAACGTTGCTGAGAGTTACAATGGACAGGAAGTAGTGGAGAGCCATTGTCACCAACAATCGGGACTCAAAACCGACACTGAAGAATTATCTATCAAATAAAAATAAATCATCGAAATCGGATGAAAACTGGAAATACATAAACAACAACCAATCGCGCGCGGGCACACACACACACACACACATTCTGAGAATCCTAGATATAGATATGACAAACCTTAAGTTCTATTCAGGTAGATATTTTTTTCTCACGTTTCTCGCTTTTGGAACACTTTTCTGGTTTCTAGTTTTCCTGTCAACTACGCTTTTCAAAAATTTAAATCCAACGTCAGTTGTCATTTTCTGATTTTTTTTTTTCATCATGTTCTTTTATTAACCTTTCGCCTCAATTATGTTTTTCTTTGTTTCTTTCACTCTCGGTAAACCCTTGAGTCTTAAAGGATTTATTGCCTTGATTGGAATGAAATGATTAAAAACATAAAATAAAATAACACTGACGAATCTTCATAGAATGAAGCTGCTTTGTTAGGTGTACGTCGACCTTTATTCCATTTCGATGAACCTGTCATATGTTGGCGCATGCTCAGCGCGTTTTAGAAAGATAAAAAGAATTTCATTGTTTGTCAAAACTGTACATCTGTTGATTGTGAATATGACTATTGTCTTGCGTAAGGAATCAAATTGAGAATTTTCTCTTTGTAAAGATTTACTTCAGATTCTATTTTGATATCTATTTCCGTTTTATTGTGGGAGGAATTCCTCAGTAAAGATCTCTTGGGTGTCGTCATTTGTTTTTTCAGTTTTATTACCACCTTCCATTTTATGATACATGGCACATTGATTTCACCGATGTTCTTTCTATTACAATGTGCCATTGATCCCACTTGTCTATCCAGGTAGTTTTTGTATTTCGAAAGTCTTTTTTTATTTTTTTAAACCACTAAGACACAAGGGGTTACTGAGTGTGGAAGAATTAGGAACAGAAACATTAATAATGAGCGGAAAGAGGAAAGAGTAATCAGGAGGACAGTAGATAGCGATTGACATTGCATTTAAATTTTTGCAAGGGAGGAAAGCCACTAAGACACAAGGGGTTACTGGGTGTGGAAGAATTAGGAACAGAAACATTAATAATGAGCGGGAAGAGGAAAGAGTAATCAGGAGAACAGTACATAGCGATTGACATTGCATTTAAATTTTTGCAAGGGAGGAAAGCCACTAAGACAAAAGGGGTTACTGAGTGTTGAAGAATTAGGAACAGAAACATTAATAATGAGCAGGAAGAGAAAAGAGTAATCAGGAGGACAGTAGATAGCGATTGACATTGCATTTAAATTTTTGCAAGGGAGGAAAGCCACTAAGACACAGGAGGTTAAAAGGTGTGGAAGAATTAGGGACAGGAACATTAATAATGAGCGGGAAGAGAAAAGAGTAATCAGGAGGACAGTAGATAGCGATTGACATTGCATTTAAATTTTTGCAAGGGAGGAAAGCCACTAAGACACAAGGGGTTACTGGGTGTGGAAGAATTAGGAACAGAAACATTAATAAGGAACGGGAAGAGGAAAGAGTAATCAGGAGAACAGTACATAGCGATTGGCATTGCATTTAAATTTTTGCAAGGGAGGAAAGCCACTAAGACACAAGGGGTTACTGGGTGTGGAAGAATTAGAAACAGAAACATTAATAATGAGCGGGAAGAGGAAAGAGTAATCAGGAGAACAGTACATAGCGATTGGCATTGCATTTAAATTTTTGCAAGGGAGGAAAGCCACTAAGACACAAGGGGTTACTGGGTGTGGAAGAATTAGGAACAGAAACATTAATAATGAACGGGAAGAGAAAAGAGTAATCAGGAGGACAGTAGATAGCGATTGACATTGCATTTAAATTTTTGCAAGGGAGGAAAGCCACTAAAATACAAGGGGTTACTGGGTATGGAAGAATTAGAAACAGAAACATTAATAATGAGCGGGAAGAAGAAAAAGTAATCAGGAGGACAGTAGATAGCGATTGACATTGCATTTAAATTTTTGCAATGGAGGAAAGCCACTAAAATACAAGGGGTTACTGGGTGTGGAAGAATTAGGAACAGAAACATTAATAATGAGCGGGAAGAGAAAAGAGTAATCAGGAGGACAGTAGATAGCGATTGCATTTAAATTTTTCTAGATTAAAGTTGGCTGGAAACCCTGGAACCGAGAGGGAGTTCCACAGGCGAAAAGTGCGAGAAAAGAAACTGTTAGCATAGAAATTACGGCTATATCTAGCTACCTCAACTGATGAGATTTTAATACCAGTCTAGTACTGCGCTTTAATTAAAAAAAAATTCTAGGTATCACAGCGAAGAACTCATCCGAACAATTACCATGAAAGTATTTATAGTAAAGACACAGGGAGGCTACCTTACGGCGGTGGGCAGGTTAGTGAAGCTGAGACACCAGATCAAGACCAATAATATTGCTGATTCTTCTTTGGGTTTTATCAAGGAGCTCAAGGTAAACAGCAGGGACACTGGATCATCTGTGGTAGCAATATTCTTAGAATGAGCGAATGATAGACTTATTATATATGCAAGATAGATTCTGGAGAGAAAAATTATGTTGCATGACATAATGAACCAATTTTCTTTGCAGCTGATCTAGCAATGGATTCAATATAGTCTTTCCACTTCATGTGAGCTGAGAACGTTAGCCTGAGAAGGCACAACAAGTCACTTTCTTGGTGGTTGGCATTAGCCATGCTGATGGAAGACAGAGAGAGCTCTCTCAGATGATTAACGGAGAGAAATTTAGTTTTAGCGATGTTAAAACTGACAAGCCATCTTTTGCCCCAGTTAACATTTTACGTTGATACATTTTCTAATTATTTAAATGCTTGTATTGTTTCAATTATTGAAATATAATTATCTTATTTGTACGCCTGGAATCAAATAAAGAATTTACTCTTTGGTGAATTACTATTTTTTGTTCTGATAACTGATAACCTTTAGGATTACACAGTGTCCATCTCTTGATTTTTTGTGTTGAGTCTCTTCAGAACGTCGGCGATTAGGGTCCTAGGAACATTCGCCGTAAACATTTTTGCCGTATGAACATTCACCGTAAACATTTTTGCCATGTGAGCATTCGCCGTAAATATTTTTTGCCGTAGGGAAATTCGCCGTAAATATTTTTACCGTAGGAAAAGTCGCCTCAGAAATTTTCGTCGTAGAAAATTTTGCCGTATAGGATTGTTGCCATGAGACAATTTCGTCGCATTTTATTTTTGTCTAATATGCGAAGTACCTTGTTATCAAGTCTATCTGGCGCACACTTCGATTTAAATATTTTAATAAACTATATATATAATTATACTAACACTAACCCAAATTTGTGAAAACTAATTGCGTATTTGAAAAAGGAAGAGACGTTAGCAAAAAAGAAAAAGTGTGATGTAGATCAAGAAGATGCAGCACAAATGAAGAAAATATATCTCGATGCAAGACTTTAGTTGCGGTCGTTATCCATTACACTACTTGCAACATCTGGTATTCCCAAGCGGTCACCCATTTAGGTACTGACCATGTCGATGTTGCTTAACCTCGGTGATCGAACCGGAACCTGTGTTTCCACATGATATGGCTGTAAGCTCGAGCAGAGAGGCAGAAAGCGGTGTATAGTATGGTATCAGTATCAGTAAATTTTTCTTATCTCCAAAAAAAGTTCCTGCAATTTAAAAAATAGTCTCTGGCTTTATATAATCTGCAAAAGGTTGATAAGCCGTAAAAAAACCCCAGATCAATCAATGTCATTACGAAAATACTCTATTACACGCTATCTACCTTGAGTGGCTCTTGGTTGAAAAATAGTACGATAAAAATTCATTGACGTTCCTCAAGGACACATGGTCCAGTTGATAAAAGTGTTGGTTGCAATAATCCAATGACTTGACCCCAAAAGAGTTGTGAGTCCAATACTCTGCAGTGGACAAAAACTTGGAGAGTTGAGTTACTAAAGGGAATTAACTGGAACTGAGAAAAGGCGTGGAATAATTTACCCCGGAGAACAAAATAAAGGGTTCAGTTCAAAATTCCATAACCTGAGCGTACAATGGCCGAAACGTTGTAAATATAACAATAAAGATGAAGATGGCAGTCCGAATAATGTAAATAGTGTAAAAAATTATTATCTTTAAAGTATATCATTGTGAAATATTACAATTAGATAAAGGATTTTAAATATAGTTGTTTATTTTAGTATTTCATTAGCCGATTAAGATATTCTGTTGTCCCATGTGAATAAGATTTGGTGTTTCTCGATGTGTTTTAATTACTCAGTTACTGACGATTTAGTCAAAGAAAATGAACAATTATAAAACTTACTTATATTTTCAACATTTCCCAGTTTTTTTTTTGTTTTTTTTTTCAAACTTATCAACTGAGATCTTTTCTTGACGGTTTAATTTCCAATGTTCTTCTTCTTCTTCTTCTTCTTCTTCTTCTTCTTCTTCTTCTTCTTCTTCTTCTTCTTCTTTTTCTCTTTTTTCTCCGTCTATCCATTTCCCTCTCTTTTATTTTCATTTCATTATTTGCTTTCTCTGTTCATTCGCCTCCCTCGTCTCTCTCGCTTCACCCCCTCTCTCTCTCTCTCTCTCTCGTGCTTATGACTCTCTCTCTCTCTTGACTCTCTGGGCCCGTATCACAACTTCAAAGCCTTTGTAAATCATCTTCAAAATGTCTTCACCAGATTGTCTGTAAATAAAGATCACACGTCAAGATTAAATGCGTTTCCGAGTTGACAACGCACAAAAGTTAAACAAATGTCCTTGCCTATTTGCTTCTTTGCGATATTATCATATTTTGTCTTCTGAAGATCAGAACTGCCTTACAAGATATATTTTGTAATCTGATTAAAAGCAATTTCTGATCTAATGCATATCACACATATACAAACAATATTAAAACACACGTTTGTTACACGTTTTTATTTATATATATATATATATATATATATATATGTGTGTGTGTGTGTGTGTGTGTGTGTGTGTCTTTTGAACAATAAAAAATATTAAAAATTAAAATCTTCAGACACACTGGGTTGTATATAATTATTTTTTCGTTTTTATTATTTAAGTTAGATTCCTCGACGAGTTTCGGCCAACATGGCCATCATCAGGAGAAAAAAATCTGCTTGTTAGTAGCTTGTTAAGTGTGTGTGTTATTTGTTTCATAGGGAGGGAGGGAGGGAGTATGATGTGTGTAATTGTGCATATTATTATGGGTATGTGTTATCATTTGGCTCATTAGGGAGGGAGGGAGTATGATGTGTGTAAGTGGGTATATTATTATGGGTGTGACTATAAGTGTGAGGCTTCAACACCTCCGCAAGTATGTCGGTCTTGTGTGGGTGGGCAATGTCGGTAGGTCCTGATTTGTGGGGTTATATATTAAATCTATGTTGTTAAATTTGTGATTAAGCCCGTCTGGATGAAGCGTTCTCAGACGTCGAATCCACTTATTTTCATGTCCTTCTAAAATCTGTCTAATATTATCTGCTCTGAACTTTTCTATTTTCTCAGTTACAGTGAATTTGGCATAGGTTTAAAAATATTTTAAAAAAAATGTTGTTCTACAGGTAATAATCTTTTATATATATATATATATATATATATATATATATATATATATATATATATATATATATATAACCAAGTACAGGATTGGTGTATACGGAATAAGTAACCGACAAATAATTATTCTTAAAAGAGTGCTCAATACAGAGTAGAGCAAGTATAATTATTTATTCGAAAATTATAACATAAATATGTTATAAAATCACTACGAAAAAAAGCCATTTTGTTTCAATACTTCTGGTGTCTTATCAAGTGATGGTGTTGAATCTAGATTCAACACCATCACTTTATAAGACACATATTTATGTTAGACTTTTCGAATAAATATGTTATATATATACAATATTGTAGGAAAATGGACAGTAGGATTAAAGTGTTCAAAACATTAATTTAAAAATAGTGCTCAATACATAAAGTAGAGCCGTAAATATTTATTTATCTTATGCATTGTTACATTATAACATGCACATATCCACTACAAAATTGTACATTTTAGTTTCAATGTCAAAAAGTTGATATTGGCTTTGATAACTGTATTTCTGAATAAGAATTTTTTAGTAACACCATAATCTCCCACCAGATGAGACGTTCCTCCTTTTTTGATGTTGAAACGAAAATGTATAATTTTGTAGTGGATATGTGCATGTTATAATGTAACAATGCATAAGACATATATGTATATATATATATATATATATATATATATATATATATATATATGTGTGTGTGTGTGTGTGTGTGTGTGTGTGTGTGCGTCTGTTCCTCGTATTTGTACTTAAGAAACTACTGAGGAAGAAAACGTTAACAATATTAAGAAAAAAGACACACAGTGATTAACGCGTATACATCTAGTTCACAGCTCATCAGTGTGCGAGACATCCGATCGCTTCAGGCCGGAACCGAAACCGACAAATTTGGTATCAGTCGGAGATTCTACCCCCTAGGCCATCAACACTCGGTAGAGAGTAAAGCGAATTTTTGAGTATTTATAAACACACCAGTAACTCAGAGAACTCAATCCTCGATAGGAGAGTCATGTATTATCAGCAGTAATAGTGGCTGTTTACAAATTCGTTCTTTACTCCCCACAGTGCTCGACCGATTAAATTATTTTATCGAGAGCTAATATCGCCATCCAAAGTTTGTTAAATTATTTTTGATTCACCCTGTATATATATATATATATATATATATATATAGTTCACGACAAAAGTATTGGAATAGCAATTTCTGCGACTAGATCACCCCTTACACATGGCCACCTAACTCCCCAGACTGCAACTCCCCCTTGATTATTATGTGTGAGGCGCATTTGAGCGAGAGGCCAACAAAACTCCTTGTAACACCAAGGATGAACTGAATGCAAGGATTATGGCAGCATTCACCAACTTGAACAAAGAGACCGTCAAGAAGAGTTGCAGGGGATTCCGATGTCATCTGGAGACTGTGTTTGAACAAAGTGAATAAATCTAATCTTTAGTACTTAAAGATATTTTTCTTCAATTTTGGTAAATATATCAATTAAAGGGAGAAGTCAGTTTTATTTTCATTTTTGAATAATTTATACGACAATTAATCCATCGCACCCCTATATATATATATATATATATATATATATATATATATGTGTGTGTGTGTGTGTGTGTGTGTGTGTGTGTGTGTGTGTGTTGTTTGTATAGTCTAATGCAAATTGTTGACGGTTTCGCTTGAGGTTCGGAAAGATCTTTCAGCACCTACTCTCACAAGAAAACCGCACGATGAAAAACTATTAAATAATCTCAAAGAATGAAAAAAAATGAAAGCAATTGAAATTCCGTTGGAACCACATCACTCTGCCGCTTAAAAGACCAAAACTGAGCAGTGAGTGACAGGCCTGGAACAATAGGTGTCAAATCAAAGCTTTTGAGAAATTTCCTGTTAACTATTAAAACAATGCCGCTGGTAAAAGCGAAAACAGAACTCGGAGAATGATAAGACAAACCAGATCGAAACTTAACGGAAGGTGAAGAAGACATAAAGCGACTCCTAACTGGTAGATCCGGATCAATATACAGTGTAAACTATATATATATATATATATATATATATATATATATATATATATATATATATAAAAGTGAACATAGAAGTCAACACTTAGAGGCGACAGTCTGTTTCATGCTATATGCAATCGTCAGGCCTGAAACACGTTCTATCTCTGATATTGAGCACTTTATCCCATAAATATAGCACACCTTAAGACTATATTTCTTTATATATGTATATATATATATATATGTGAAAAGTGTATATAAATATAAATAAATATATATATATATATAATTATTTATATATTATATGCGCGGTACTTATTAGAAAGCGCTCAATATCAGAGATATCATTTGGTTGAGATAAAGTTTGTTTGAGTTTCACGCTTTAGCGATGATCGTAAAGTTTGAAACCCAGGGTCACAAACTCACATCTATCCAACTAAATATATATATATATATATATATATATATATATATAATAATAATCTTATAAATATAAACACCTACACTCGTTCGGCAAAACCTTAGGTGTTTTAGCTTGTAAATGAACAAATATATATATATTGTCATTCACGGACAGACTGTTTCGCTATGTCATAGCTCATCAGTGTCGCTAGACGTCCGGTTGCCTCTACCTAGAATCGTAACCCGACTGAATTGGCGTCAGTCGGGTAACTTATTCGAAAATTATAACATAAAGGAGCTAAACCTGGCTATAATGACATACCGGGTCAAAATCAATTCGTTTGTTTATTATTATCGGTTCTTCCAATTCTTCGTCAACATCTCCCCTTCTGATATTTCTAATTTGTGGCGATTAGTTAATTTATATAAGATAGCTTAATTAGTGCTATGGATTCGCAGGTAACTATCCTGACGAAACCGTAAGGTCGAAACTCGGTCCTGACAAGACCGTAGGGTTGAAATCCGGTCCTGACGAGACCATAGGGTTGAAACTGGGTCCTGACGTGGCCGTAGGGTTGAAA